GGTCTCACTGAGGACCTGTGCGTGGTAGGAAGCCAAAGCCGTGGCCAGCTGTACCAGCCCCTCTCTCTGTCTCTGCCTTCACCCTGCTTATGCTCCTCTGGTCCTGACGTTGTGGTGCTGGTTTTCCTCCAAAAAAAATGGCCAGGGTGGGGGTTATGGTGAGTCACCTGCACCCCGACCTCTTCGTCTGGAGGAGTGTGATGTGGATGGTTTCTTCGACTTTGCTCTTGGGTCTGCTTAGGGTCATTTTTATGTTACGCTGTCTGCTAACTTACCTTTTCCCAGCCGCTTGGCAGTTGCACGTCGTGTCCAAGTGTTACTATAGCATGTGTTTTGCAGATATTGAATACTTGTTCTTTGTCATCTCTGTTATCTCCGCAAATGGTTTTGCCCTGCTCCCAGGTTTGCAGTTCTTTAGTTAGCAGTGATTGACTATTGGAGAGCTGCTTCTGGCCTTGGTGCTTTGGTACCACCTGTGCTTGTGGGGACCTTGTTACAACCTGCAAAACTCCCCCAAAAACAATGTCAGTAGGAACACCTTAATTTGCAAATGGGTAAGAAGCTCAGGGTGGAAAGCTATCAGTGGACAGCAGAGACACTAACCTTGAGCCATTGAAGGGTCTCTGGCCAGGAGTGGTATCGATGAGCCGAGATTGCCAAGTGCCTGCCATTTGGCACACCATGAATGTCTCACAGCCAGGGCCAGGGCAGGAACTCAAGCTGGGACATGGTCCTTCCCAAACAGTGTGCAACTCCCCCATTTCCAGGTGAAGTTCCCCATTGGTGTGAAGTTTTGTTCCCCACAAGACTTTAGAAGTTTTGTCATCTGTGAGGATGTCGTGAGCTGGCTAGAGCAGTTCGGTCAGTGTTACTCCGTTAGTCAAGGCACCGTCCTGTCTGACGGGAGGTGCGCTTTGCAGGTCTCATGGAACATTGTGAGATGAAATGTCCCAAGACATCTCAACCAATCTGTTCCAGGATTTTTAACTCAATGAAAATAACGTCCACTTTTTGTTTCAAAAGAGAGTGGAAGCGGAGGTTGGAACGCAGGCGTGAGCCTTGGATACATCCGAGGTTTGCAAATAGCTCACGCGAAACGTTTGCACATCCGGAGTCAGGCTGTGAAGGGCTGCCACAAGAATAACTTGTTGCTGCTCTGTAACTTGTGTTCGAGCTGTCCTCTGCAGGCACAGAGGAGGGGACCGCCACTAGTAATCCTGTTTGTCACCCCCTTCCCTCCACAGGATGGTTTTGCTCAGGCTGCGAGGTCTTTGAAAGCTGGAGCTGTGCTGGGGGCTGCTGTTGTCACGAGAGTAACGTGGCTGCAGAAACACTCTGAACGTGATGGTGGGGCTCGAAGGGGATTCGGAGCTGCTTCTTGTAGTTTTTCTTGCCCTCAAAGTAACCCCCAGAACACCTGAGCAGACCTCAGGGAAAGGGAAAAGGATGTGAAGTGACCCAACGTCTCAGGGCCCCACAAGCCTCTTTGCGCTCTCCTGTCCTGCTTTTCAGAAATCACCTAAATGACATCTAGAGCAGGGACGGTGCTGTTGATCCTGTTGTGCTTCTGCGTGTTTCGCGTTGTCTCAAGGGTGGGTTTTGCATGTTCTCCAGCCTGTGGTCCATAGACCCTGGCTGAAATGGGACTTTGTCTCTTCCTTTTTTCCTGAATGCTCTTTTGGCTGGAAACATATAAAAGTAACTTTGCTCCCACAAGACACCTATTCAGGGTGCCTGAAATTCCAGAGAGAATTCACAACTTGCAGAGCCAGAGCTATGTTAAGTGGATAAATACACGCACGTGTATTTTGTGGGCGCGCTTTGCAGTATGGATCCCTACGGAATTTTAAGCAGGAATTGATGGCCAGGGGCTCCCAAACCACCGGCACCCGGTGCAAACTGTGCACCCAGTTGGTTTGCTTGCCTTTTGTTTTTTAAAAGTAATCAAAAGGGAAAATCAGATGAAATCACTCTTCCTCTGGGCAGCATCCGAGACTGTTGCAACCCCTTGCTGTCTCGTGGGTACCCGTGGGTCTGTATGGGGTCGGTGTCTCGAAGGGCATGCTGAAGGATCGCCCGCGCGGCAAAGCAGCTGGGGTTGAGCCAGGCTGGGATGCCAGGACCAACTAACCACTTCTAGGAGGAGCCAAACCCCCTTCTGCAGTGACCGCCTAAACTGGGCCGTGTCCTGCAGGCTGGGGAGAGCCCCCCGCTGTGTGCTCAGTGCCAGCAGGGTCTCAGCCAGCTCTCTGGGTCTGGCTGGTCAAGGGAGAAGCGAGCGAGTTAGAGCAGCCATCTGCCAGGAATAACGTGGCTCATCCTGCCTAGAGGGGAGGAATGAAGGAGGAAAAGCTGCTGATAAAGTGAAGGACATTTTTCCCCAGGTAGCAAAGGGCAATTAAAGCATCAGGAAGGACTTCTGAGTGTCCCACAGCCCTCGGCTGCATTAGCCGTACACGAAAGGGGAGATAGCCCCAGATAATTGCTGTAACGGAGCTGCTCTGCAAGCTGCTCGTGGCAGCCTCTGCGGTCCCTGACGTTTTTGCACTAATTGACTAAATTCCCCTTAGACAGGGCCCCCGGCCCTGGGGGCTGTCTGGGCACTGCAGCATGCTCCCATGGTTGCAACCTCCAGGGCCGCTCCGAGGGGGAGCTGCTTTTATCTCAGCCAAGGAGAAGGCATGTAATTTCCTCGCTGTTTCAGGCGCAACACAGGCTGCAGTTTGCGCTCGGACTGATGGTGCAGGAGTTACAGCAATCGCTCGTTTCCCTCTGTTGCATCTCGGCAAGCGCCACAGGCTGCTCAGGCCTGTCTCGGAGGCTCTCTGCCTTTGCCTGAGAGAGCTGTGATTCCTCCCGTGTTGCTTACATACCCTGTTGTGCGTTGGCGCTGGTATCGTAACGGGGGCTTGCTCTTTAAGCTATCTAGCGTTCGCCATCCTGCCCACACGCAGCCCAGGTCCGAGCTCGTGCCTCGCCTCTGTCCTGCTGCGGCGGGAAGGGAAGGTTTGGGGAAAGCCGGTTGTCCATCTGCGAGGTGTAGCTGTTGGCAAGCGTCAGCCTGCGTTTGCATCCTGCGTAGCGTGGTAGCCGATACCGGCGGCCGGGGCGGCCG